GAAGAGAGAGGAGCTGTCATGGTGGAAGGCGAGCAGGAAAACCAGGGGTATATCTGCAGCCTCGTCCTGCAGCACAGGCTGCCTGGCACTGAAAAAATGACAGGCTCCAAGCAGCAGATTGTACCACTCCCTAGAGAGCAGCACTGTTACCCACACTGGGTTCCCAGCCCTGGCATCCGTGGGCCAGGACGTGGCCGTGGTACCCAGCCCCCAGTGAAAGAGCATTACAGCTTGGTAGCCTTAACTCTGGCTCCATTTCCCATCACCCTCATTAGAGGGACATGGGGATATTGCACCTGTCCTGATTTCTCGGCAGGAGGGCAGGAAACTGTCCTTTCATCCTGGAAAACATTCCATGTAAAACATGTCTGATCCTGAGCTGGGTAAGACGACTGCTGTGAAGGAGCAGCCACTTCAGTCCATCCGCTGCCTCCTTCCAAAAAACCTGAAATGATCGTTTTGATGGTGACATTTGCAACCCTAAAGCCAGCTCAAACCTCAAAATAGGAAACAGTGAAAAAGAGAAAGGCTCTCGTGTCAAAAATACCCAAACAGGATTCAACACTTCCGAGCACAGTTATTTCTTATGGGAAATAAGAAATTCAGAGTTTTTCCTGGAGAGTTTCATTTGATGAACTGACTGTGCGACAAAAATCATCTCATCAAAAATTTCCCAGCCTGCTCCAATTGGCACGAGCATCTGGCAACGTCCTTGCTGTTTCCCAAGAACAAGGCAGAATCCTGACTTGTGTTTGAAGCTGATTAACGTCCCAAAATACACAGAAAGGAGGTCTTCTTTTTTTGGAAGAGTCATATTGTTTCTGAGTCAGGCACTGATACGCAAGTGCAAAATAATGTAGCTTGGCTCATGATGGAAAACATGTCAAATTATCTATTTTTTTTAGAGAGAGACATTTTCAAACTTTTTGCCCCTCATAAGCTGGGCACAGTCACAGAGAAGACACAGCCCCAGCCCACCAGAGCCTGTCCCAGCCTACACAGCATAGGGCTGCTGCCTAAGGACACACAGCCCAGGACTGACTTTCCCCATCTTTCTCCTGCTGTGGCTGAAAGCATGAGTACTATTTTCAGGGGTGGAAAAAAAGACCATTTTCAGGCTAGCCCATCTGCAACTTCCTGCTGGGCACCCCACTGGTGGTTCAGAGCCTGCAGGTCAGGAGGGGCACGGTGAGCCCTGTTGTCTTCACACGGGGTGTGGGCTCTTCAGGAGGGGTGGGAAAGTGCTCACTGCCAACTGGACAGTTGGTACTTGCACAGGGAGGACGAGGCTCTCAGATCCCACCTGCCTGATCAGGGCCAAGAGCCACCCCTTGCAAGGGATGAAGACTCCACTGAGGTGGGTCTCAGAGCAACCCCAATGCCCAAACACCATCCTCATGGCCAACGCAAAATCCTGCAATGGGGAGAGTCAGGCAGGCCTCGCTCTTTCCAAGACACTGATCCCTTTTTTGGCAGCCCCCAGGGTGTCTCCATCAGCACCAGAAAGCAGTGAGAAAGAGAGCACTGAAGGAGGGAAGAGCCATCAAGACACCATGCCTGGTGGTCACCCAGCAGTCTCCATATCTGGGCCATGGATGGAGGCACAACCCCAAGTCCCCAGAGTGACTCGATGGAGGACACCAAACCCAAACCCCCGGGCCGTGGGTGGGGACCATCGGCTTGGAGGAAGGGCCCCCACAAGCCCTGCACGCTGGAGCAGGCGAGGGGCGGCCCGGCCTCCGCTTCCTGGGCAGCAAACACCAACCTGCTTCCCCCAGGAATGCAGCCAGGCCAGTCCCAACCTGCCAGGGCCCTTTCTTGCGGGGCACGGGCATGAAGGACCCTCCTGCAATCGCTGCCCGTGTCGACAGCCAGGCACGGGCTTGCGCAGCGCTGCCCGGGTCACGGCACCACGCTCAGCCCCAGCCCCAGCCCAGCCCCCCCCAGGCAGCCCAAAGCCTTTCCCAACGCTCGCCCCGGGCAGTGGGTGAGCAGCCTCCTCCCTGCCACACAGGCAGTGACAAGGCCGGGCAGCTCAAGGGCTCTGCCCAGGACAAGAGCCGCAGAGCTCGGAGCGGAGCTGCAGATGCTCTGCCTCCCAAGGCTGCACCCCGCTTTTTGGCCAAGAGTTCAGGACTGCCAACCAGCCCAGGGCAAGCGCCTGCTGAATGACTGTGCTGCCAAAGGGCACAGGCTGCAGCACAACACAGCTCGTCCCTATGGCAGGGAGG